GTCACACGATGTGTCATGATGGGAATGTGATACGTCGCACAATGTTTTACTTTTAATCAGAGTTTTACGGCACTTGCAACACAATAAAGTCATATAGAATAGATGTGTTACAAGACGGTAACACTAACATACACAAAAAGGAGGAGATATCAGGACGAAAGATGTTTGATCGGAAAGAAGGAGCAAACCACACCAGAGCACCTGCCAACCACCCACTAACACAATGTGTCATAAGGTGATGGGTACGTGATGATGTATGTACAGTATTTTTAGGCACCCACCAACACAACATTAGATAATTATATTGAATTTTAATTGAGTAATATATAATTTTAATTTTGTACGTATACCTGCGTGTGTTTTTACGGCCCTGTACAGCCAAGAAAAAATTTCCTTCTGGAAAGATAAAATCTTATCTTATCTTATCTTAATTCAGGAGGCGGGTTGCTCGACCCCATCTGTCAGATCCAACCTTGGTTGAATAGGATATAATGTCCCAGAAAAGTGACAGACGTACACACGTTAAAAAAAAAAAACGAACAAAAAGACCCTACACAGGCATAAGACTCATATCCTCCGCATACGAAAACGAGCACCTAACCGCTGCACCACGCCAATAATAAAGGTTTAGCTTTAGTAAGTGTTTAACGGCACTTGCAAAACAATAAGGTCATATAAGTGCCGAAGACTAAAGGTGTTACAAGAGAGTAACAAACACAAAAAGAAGGTGGAGAGGTCAAGACGAAAGATGTTTGATAGGAAAGAAGGAGCAAACCATACCAGAGCACCCGTCAACCACCCACACAATGTCCCAACATTGAAAAAATCAAACGAACAAAAAGACCCAACACAGGCATCAAACTCATATCCTCTGCATACGAAAGCGAGCACCTAACTGCTACACCACAGACAAACGCCGATAATAGGGGTGGGGGAGGAGCGGGGGATGAGGAAGGGAAGACGAAGAAGAGAAAGGGAATTATTGAGAAGGGAGGAAAGATGGGGAATAGAAGAGGAAGGGTTGGAGAGGGAGAGGAAAGGAGGTAGGGCCTCAGAAAGGGGGGGGGCGTGGTGGGGAAGGAAATTGTTTTAGTAAGTGTTTTACGGCACTTGCAACACAATAACGTCATATAAGTGCCGAAGATTAGAGGTGTTACAAGGAAGTAACAAACACAAAAAAGGAGGGGAGATAAAGACGACAGATGTTTGATAGGAAAGAAGAAGTAAATCACACCAGAGCACCCGCCAACCACCCACGGGAAAGAAAAGAGAAGGAATGGGGAAAGGAAAAGGACGACCGAGCCACACAGAGAAGATGAGAAGGGAGAATATTTAATAACAAGTGAGTGGACAGTGGACGAAGTTGACCTACACACTCAGGCCTGGGGGCTCAGACTATTGGCGGAGAAGGAGGAGGAAGAGGAGGAGAGGAAGGGAGAAAGAGGAGGAGGAGAAGGAGGAGGAGGAGTAGAGGGAAGGAGGAGGAGGGGGTGAAGTGGACAGGTCAGGAGTTATTGGTGTCGGCCTTAGGCTACAAGAGCTTATGAAGGGCGTGAGGGGATACTGGCTTGCTCGTGTGGACAGACAGACAGACAGGCAGACAGGCAGACAGACAGACAGACAGGCAGACAGACAGACACACACACACACACACACACACACACACACACTTACGAACACACAGACACATAGACAAACACACAGATAGGCGGGAGACAGACAGACAGGCAGACAGGCAGGTAGACAGACAGACAGACAGACAGACAGACAGGCAGGTAGGCAGACAGACAGACAGACAGACAGACAGACAGACAGACAAATAGGCAGACAGACAGACAGACAGACAGACACGACACACAGACAGGCAGGAAGATAAACAAACAGACAGATATATACACAGACAGACATGACAGATATACAAACACAAACACAGACAGACACACAGATAGACAGACAGACATGACAGATATACAAACACAAACACAGACTGACACACAGATAGACAGACAGACAGGCAAGAAAACATACAGACAGACACACACACAGGTAAACACACAGACAAATACACGACTCACAGACAGGCTGGAAGACAGACTAAAAGACAGATAGATAGATAAACAGACAGACAGATACACACAGACAGACAAAACAGAAACACAAAAACACATACAGACAAACCCATACATAAACAGAAAGTTAGGCAAGGAAAACCTACAGACAGACAGACAGACAGACAGACAGACAGACAGACAGACAGACAGACAGACAGACAGACAGATAGACACACAGACAGCCAAGACAGACACACAAACACACAAACAGACACACAGATAGACAGACAGATAAGCAAGGAAAACATACAGACAGGTAGACACATAGACAGACACAGACTCACAAACACACAGACAAACAGACAGACACACAGATAGACGGATGGACAGACGGATGGACGTACGGACAGACAGACAGACAGACATACAGACAGGTACTGCATGCCATACACGGCAGCATCAGAAAATGAATAAATAAAGTGTGGCAGGCCAAGGAATAAATTTCCCTTCTCTTTTCATTGTCTTTATTTGAATAAAGAGACGCACAACAAAACAGTAAAGGTCATTTAGTGCAAGGAAAAAATAAGAGTGGTAGACAGAAACAACCGAGTGTTACCAGTGACACCCACCAACAACCCAATTTCCCATCTTGTCCGTCTCCTCAATAACTAAACAGCAAATTCTACTATGTTAAAAGTACAGACAGAAAGCCTGTAAAATTACCATTTCATGACATACTAGGCTGAAAGACAAAAGCAAGCACATGTGTTGTTTTTTCAGTTTTAGTTTCAGTACGTGTAGGCACTTGCAACACAATAAGGTCATATAAGTGCCGAAGATTAGAGGTGTTACAAGATAGTAACAAACACAAAAAAGAAGGAGGGGAGATTAAGACGATAGACGTTTGATAGGAAAGAAGAAGCAAACCACACCAGAGCACCCACCAACCACCCACACAATGTGTTGTTTGATCAGGAACAACAATAACTTCAATGACAATACAAACAACAATTGTGACAATAGTAAATAACAACAACATCATCAACTAAAACAAGAACAATAAAAGCAAAAGAAAAATTGATGTGAAAAGACAAAACGGGGTGAAAAGAAGAAAAAGAAGCCAAACAGAAAAGGAAAGAAACAGGGAGTTAATAAAAGGAGTAGAAAAGAGAACAAAGATAAAGAGAAGTAACAAGTTTGGTTTTTTTAATTAAAGATTGAGAGAAAGTGGGGAGAAGTCAATCAGGGGTAAATGGAAAGCAAGAGGGAGTCGATACAAGGAAAAGCAAAACAGGAAAAAGGATGGGAAAAAAGAATTGGACAAAGAAAAAAGAGTTTTAAAAAAAAGGAAAGAGAAGTCTATAAATAAACAAACAGATAGAAAATCGATTAAAGAAACAGGAGTAGAAGAAAAGAGTTGGAAACAGAGCAGGAAAAGGAGTAAGAAAATGAAAAAGCAATAGGAAAAAGAACAAGAAAAGAAAAGGGAGTCAATGAAAAGAAATAGAAGTAGAAAAAGGAAAAAAGAAATTGAGGAACAAGGAAGTAGAAAAAAGAAAGAGAAAAAGGAGTAAAAAGGGGAAAAAAGAGTAAATGAAGGAGATGGGGGAAAAAGTTGTAGGATGGGGGGGGGGGAGAGGGGGGGGAGTAGAAAGCGACAGGGAATGTCCTACCTTTGTCTAGTCGAGGTGGCGGCCTGTACTTGAACCCAGACTGGCTCCAGAAAACGGGAATGGAACCCCGCACTTGCACGAAGGAAACCAAGTGGGGAGAGAACTCGATGATCTGGCGATGATCAAATAGAAAAACAGCAGTAGTCTCCCTTCCCACTTCTTCTCGAGCATGCATTGCTCAAATTTCCCTCTTCTTTCATCATTAAGAAACGTCACTATTTCTATTGGCATTTTGCAATTTCCTCCCAACACGCCCACCCCACCCCACCTCCAGCACATTTGCTCTTTCCCCCTTCCCTGCAGAACAACCCCTTACATTGAGACATCAAAAGCCGCGAATAAAAGTACATTTTTTTTTAAATTTTTTTTGGGGGGGGTTCAACAAAAGTTATTCTTCAGTGAAAAAGATTAAACTTTCAAAGCCAACGTACCTGCTCTGTTTCTACATAATTAGCACAGGCTCCATTAGAATTGAGGCCTCTTTTCCTTGATCTTGTTCCTGGTGAAAAACGGAAAATATCAAATAAAAATGTCAAAGGAATGAGAAAATATAATAAGCTGGAAATGTTAATAACAATAACAACTTTCACAGATTTATCCTCGACTTTCAAAGTAAATTTTCACTTCAGAAGCTAAAGGATAAAAAAGAATTGCCTTTATCATCTAAATATTGCATATATTGTTTAAACTGACCAGCTGTTCATAGTAACATTTATGTAGTCAATCTGAGACAAACTTCAAGCCTCCCCTTTATAATTAAAGAAACAGTTAGTTAACAAAGCTATAGTTTATAAATAAAAATATAGTTTATTACCTAAGATATAAGCTACAGTACATAAATTCTATTTTGCTTTTTTGTAAAAAAAAAAAAAGAATTTTTTTTGTTTTTGTTTTTGGCTTAGGGTTCCGATTTGGTGTTGTATTTGTAAGTTATGTAAATACAGTGTGTAAGTAAAATAAATAATTCCATTGTACCATGACCTAGCCATCCCCCTACACATACCAGCCCTATGGCGACTCCTGCGAGAGATAATGCTGATGTTATAGCCCAGGGGCTCCAGCTTCTTGGTGGAGAATTCCGCGGACGACGTCATCTCAGACGGGCTGGCCTTCTTGTCCTCGTCAAAGTCCATGATACACGTCTCCATCTGGACGTAGCCCTGGATCACCGGCAACATCCAGTGGTCAGCCAGCGGGTCCTGTTATGAAAGGATGGACAATATATGGTCGCTTTTAAGGACAAAGGGGCTATCCAGAAAAATGCTGTTAATTAGAAAATCAAAGGTAAAGTTTTTGCTCCTTGTTCAGTTTCTTTAAAAGACAAGGACAGTTTTCTCTATAACCAAACAAATACACACATCCATGAAACTAAACTTCTCCAAGAGGTAGTGCAATGCTCACTTTTGGTGTAGTTTAAAATTTCTGGAAACCCCCGAAATCTGGGTTAGCCCTCTTATCCTTAAAAGCGATCAAATGGTCATCTAAGAGTCAAGGGGAAATAACTGCGATTATCAAGTCCAGGCTTTCTGCCAACAGAGTTTGTTGACCTCCTTTCTCTGCCCCTCAACTGCAGCCTGTCTGATTCCAAAACAGCTGATGGCGTCAGTGATGCAGTGGTTATACTCCTCACCATCACACACAGAGGACAACAGTTCAATCCCTGAGTGGGATACTTTTTAAATTAAGTATCTCCATTTCTCCACTGAGATGCTATATAACCAGGTTGGTCCTTAAGGCGGAGTCAAAGCAACTCCTTCCTAAATAATCTAAATAGTGTTCATGGAAGCCTAAAATATTTACATTCAGGATTTTTCATGGGAACCTAAAATATTTACAGTCAGGATTTGCCAAGGGAGTCTAAGATATAAAATTTACAATAAGTATTTTTTTCAGGAACAAGATATTTTTTTACCCCTGAAAGAGGTGGCCCTAATCACACTTACATTTGTCTCCATCAGTTCCAACAGCATGTGTTTGTTCCAGAAGAATCTCTCGTCCGCCTTTTTCCACATGGCTGTTGTGCTGTCATAATCTGAACTATTCTGTCTCTGTAAACTGTTTGTTAGGTCAAAGTTATCGCTGTAATAGAAAAAATCCGAGTCGTTGTACATCTTCAGGAGTTCCTGCAAGGGAGAAAAATGAGTGGAATAAGTAAAATGTGTATCCGAAACTGAAACAATGAACATAAAACAGGAGAAAATAGACGTTTTAACCATCACTGCATCCATGCTCTCTCTCTCTCTCTCTCTCTCTCTCTCTCTCTCTCTCTCTCCCTCTCTCTCTCTCAAAGAAATACTTCAAGTGTAAAATACAAGTGCTAAGGATTTTAAGCAGGAAAGGCTGAGTATTTTCCTGTCGCATACAGCGTCTGTCGTTTAATTATTATCGACATAATTTAGACTATTTCGGAGGCAGGCTGCTTTGACAGTGACTATCAGGGCCAACCCAGGATGAGAGGAATATACAACATATACTATTACTTACAATCATTTACACCTGAGAGCACAATGTTGCAAAGTAAAGAAGACTTTTCTTACCTCCAATATTCTTTTCTCAAACTTCTCTCTGTCTTTGAGTTCCTTCTGTAACGACAAAAAAATGAAAGGATTGGTTATTATTTATAACATGTTGTCAGTCTTCCTCAATAAATATTTCTTTCTTTCTTCATGCGACATATTTGAAAATGACAAAGGCGGTCATAGTTCGCCACTTATTTCTCCGTTTGGATGTTCTCATAGAAACTATAGGGTACTGTACAACAAGCATCCCTTTTGTTTGATCAATCCAATTATTTATAAATTTGTATTAAAAAGCTCAGATCATTAAGTAAAAGTGAAAGTAAATGTTTTATGCCCTGCCTGATGGACACAATGTTTTTAATTTAAGAAGCGGACTGTTTCGCCCAAGCCTTTGATTTACAATTCTCTGCAGAGACATATTTTAACTTCTTTGAGTTGTCATTCACTGTAAAGACATGCTTTACCTTCTTTGATTTGACATTTTCTGCTGCAGATTTGATGGAGTTCCACGTCCCTCGTAGCGACATCTGAGAACTGTCTGCTGATTGGCCAATCTTTTCTGGGTTTTGAATTCCAAAGTGATGTGTCCTGCATAACTGCAACAAGATGACATGCCAATGAGTACAAAACAAGTTCATTAAAAACGATTCTTAACTTCGGCCTTCAGCAGGTTAAAAAAAAAGTTTAAGTAAGGGTTTTACGTCACTTGCAACACAAATACGGCTTGTAATTGCCGAAGGTTAGAGATATTACTGGAGAATTACCTATAGGAGAGGAAAGAAGGCATAAAACCACACCAGAGCGCCCACCAACCACCCACCAGCTTAAAAATCATCACGTAACAAATGGACAAATATAGCTGTCAGCATTGTAGCACTTCTTGAAATGTCACCCCAACCGAACCCATCCAACATTTAAACCGTAATAAGTGCCCATATGACCTCATTCAGTTAAGAAATATAGGATCTACCAGTGACACCCTCCAATCACCCGCAAAGCAATGACACATTTACAGTGTTATACAATTTTCGTAATTCGATCTTATAACCAACATTGGGCATTTTAGAAACGAACAAATCTGGACATGAATGGGCAAAAGAAAGAAATTAAAAAATCGTAGATGTGAAGAAACCGTACACAAGTACAGATTAAAGGGGTTTGCTGTCATGACCACCGCTCAAAAGGGAAAATATCCGAATTCGAAACCTAAAAAAATTGGGAAAAAATGCATGAAGACAGAAAGAACTTACAACAGAGGCAAAACTGTACACGCAAAAAAGAAAAATGAAAATCTGAACAAGGGAAGAAACAAAAAAACAAAAAAACAAAAAAACAAACAAAAACATCTGGACTCAGCCGGAGACGAAACAGAACAAAATAAACTGAACACGGGAAGAATAAAAAAAAAAAAACACAAGAGAATAAAAAATGTCGAGACGGGGATGAGGAAAAACGTATTTTAAAAAGTTGGAATTGAGAAGGTATTTTTTAAAATCGAGACAACGGAAGAAACAAAAGAAACGAGGTTGGACAAGGAAACAAAATAAAAAATATGAAAACGAAAATAAATAAAAAGGGTTGGACAAAGAAACAAATTAAAAAATGAAGAAATCTGAACATGTAAAAGATAAAGTTTTTAGAAAGTTGGACAAAAGCAAAGTAACTCCAAGATTTAGTTTTTAGTTTTAGTAAGAGTTTTACGGCACTTGCAACACAAAAAGGTCACATGAGCGCCAGAAGATTAGAGGTGTAACAAAGAGAGTAACAACCATAAAAAAGAAGAAGGGGGGATAAGGACGATAGATGGTTGATAGGAAAGAAGAAGCAAACCACACCAAAGCACCCGCCAACCACCCACAAAAACAAAGTAACTAAAAGAAAAAACAAAACAACAACAACAATAAGGTATCAATCCTTGCCCAAGAAGGATGCATTAATTCCATAGAGACGAATACTCCAAGACCACGAGCTGTCATGACCACCGCTCTTCGCCAGACACGAGAGCCCCATGGGCGCTATCAACCTCTAACTCTAACGAATGGCAAAACAACCGTTTACTAATGTTTTTTTTTGGTTTTTTGTGGGGGGGGGGGGGGGGTTACGTGTTTTACAGCGCTCGCAACTTCATAGGGTCATATGAGCGCGCTGGACACACCAAACGTTTTCAATTGGTAGGAAATTTCGAATTTTTGCTCGGGAGGCGGCCGAAGCCTACTCTTATCGATTCTAGACCACCAGGGAATCTTTAACATGCACAACTTGCACACGGGATCTCCAAGATTTTTTCGCGCTTGTCCGAGAAGCCTAGGTGTAGATCTTTTCTACCAGAAGATCAGGGGCGTGGCTGAAAGACAGCAGTAAGAAAGAACCAAGGAGTAGCAGTAGAAAGGCTGCAAAAAGAGTCAGGAGCCCAGTGAAGGGGGCAAAGGAGGCGAGAGGGTGGAGGAAGAAAGTGGAGATGAAAGCAGACGAAAAATATTGCATGAGAGTAGGAAAGAAGGTGAAAGGAAACAATTTTAGAGAAGAAAATTCTTCGGTACCTATTCGGATTCGAACCCGGGACCTTTGAATGAGAGGCGAACACTTTAACCTCTTGTCTACGAGAGCCTCCCAACCGTCTCAGCATACTGCGTAAGCTGAGAAAAGCATTTTATTTCTTCAGAGAAGTTTCGAGAACAAAAGGTTTCTTTTTTGTGAGCGTAATCATTTTAAATAGGTTTTAAAATTTGAATATTAATTTATTCAAAAACGGGTCAAAGTATCAAATTGATTTTTTTTTTTTCACAGAAGTAGGGTAACTTATGAGGCTTTCGATTTAGCGGGGGGAAAAAATAGCGCCAAAATGAAAAAAAAAAGCGTTTTGTCAACTAACGGCAGTATAGTTACGTATGTGCGTGAGGCAGCCCCTCCCCCAAATTTATGTGGACCACATTCATGGCGCATTCCAAAGTGAACCGGAACCACGTCAAAATGAGAGAACCCGATCTAGGGCATACAAAAACACAAATCTATGGTTACCTCCAGTTCCAGGTCTGCCGCGCTGTCGGTGGTGTTGAGAGGTAGAACAGCGATCTTGTCGATCTTGTAGACGTCGTGTTTTCCCGCCAGCCGGCACACCGGGCTCCTCTGTTTGATTAGCAGCAGACGACAGTCACTGTCTGAAACAGGGAAATGAACAGCCGAAATGAGCAGGGCAAAAAGATCAGCCGAAGTGATTACTTGAAATAAATTGGTCGCTTTTAAGGACAAGCGGGCTAACCCAGATTTCGGGGGTTTCCAGAAATCTTGACCTCCACCAAAAGCGGGCATTGCCCTACCTATAGGAGAAATTTGGTTATATTGGTGAGTATATTTGTTTGGTTATAGGGAAAATGATCCTTGTCCTTTAAAGAGACTGAACAAGGGTCAAAAACTTTACCTTCGATTTTCTCAAAACAGCATTTTTCGGGATAGCCCCCTTGTGCTTAAAAGCGACCAATTGCTGAAATGAACCAGCGAAGTGAACCCGCGAAATGAACAACATGGTTGACCAGCTGAATTGATGAACTAAAATAAACAGTATAAATGAACAGCTCGCATGAACACCCTTATATGAAAAGCTCAAAAGGACATCCGATATGAACAGCTAAACAGTTGAAACGAACAGCTGAAAAGAAGAAATAAAATGATTTGTCGAAATGAAATAAACAATCGAAATGGACAGCTTAAATAGACAGCTAAGATGAACTACCGAAATGAACAGGCTAGAACTGCCAAAATGAAAGGGCTAAAAGGGCCGCGGTGCATGCTTTGGGATTTGTTTTCAATTAATAATTCATTCATTGTATTCCCAACAAATCGTTAAAACGACAGTGTACCAGCATCAGTGTTGAAGCAGTATGCTCTTCGCCGTTGCACTCCTTTTTTCTTCGTTTGCTTACTTTCATGTAAAACATCTAATCTTCGGCACTTAATATAACCTAATTGTGTTGCAAGTGCCGTTAAAATCTTACTAAAATATAAAACACATATGGGGAAAGGATTGTCGTGATACGAGATGACGTAAAGGCTTAGCTTTAAAAATATTTTTTTTAATCTTAAAAAAGAGGGATTAGCCTATTCGAATATCATTTAATTCCATTGATTTGTTTTAAAACATCGTACGTGGGAAGGCAGACTTTCATCAACAGATGTGTGAGGACTATCCTAAGAATTAAGTGGCAGGATAGAATAAGAAATGAAGAGCTATGGGAAAGGACAGGACAAAAGGATATAGAAGTAGAAATAGGACTACGAAAGTGGTGTTGGAAGGGACACACCTTCAGAAAGCCCAGCGGAAACACCACAGGACAGTCACTGCAATGGAACCCACAAGGAGCACGAGGCAGGGGTAGGCCACGAGAAACATGGAGATGTGTGGAAAGGGACATGAGAGAGATAAAGCTCACTTGGAACAAGCTAGGAAGGATGGCCCAGGACAGAGATAAATGGAAGGAGCTTGTTTGTGGCCTATACCCTGCCTGGGGTGAAAGGCACTGATGATGATGACGTGAGAAGAGAAAGCAATTGGTTTATCCTCTGTCAATTTGGCAGGGACAAAAATCAAACGTTAGGGTCTACAGATGATCAGCCCCCCTGGACTTCGATAATAAGGGTAATTGTGGGTAATGGGCGGGGAACTGTCGATCTACACCTCCTCCACTTTCCCTTTGATCCGCTCCCCGCCCCTTTCCCTCTCAGCCCCCTACCTCCTTCCCCAATGGGCCTCCCCCCACCCCTCGCCCCACTCCAATGAATGTCCAAGTACTTACTCCCCTGAGAGAAAAAAAGGAATAGATACAGCCAGGGAGAGA